CTCAGCCCCACCACTGAACAGCCTCACCCAACCAACACTGCTGGGTTTAGTTTTCTGTATGATCCTGTCCTTCACAAATTAAAAAAAGGAATTGTCTCTTCCATTTTTCCTTGCCAAGCTAAGGATCTTTAGTCAATGAGCCTCCATCCCCTGTCCCACTCTCCAGGCACACAGCAAAAGTCTCCACTGCCCTCAGAGGAGGAACAAGCTGTTGATCCCCATCTTCCCACTGCTGCCAGCAATTAGCACTAATGACTTTATGGAGTGTGTGACAGTTGGTGACAGTGACCCAGGGAGTTTCATCAGCTTCTGTTCCACAGGTTTCAGAACATCTGCTTGTGTGCCAGGGCCCTGGTGCTCCCCAGGGAAAGCACAGCCCTCGGAGCCGGGGAAAGCACCACGGGCAGCTGCCTCCTCCCTACCTGGGCAGGCTGAGAGAGACCCACAAATAACCTTCTCCAGGGATGAGAGAGGTTGGAGGAGGAGGGGAATGAGTCACAGAATCAGAGAATCAGCTGGGTTGGAAGGGACCTCTGAGATCATCAAGTCCAACCCCGCTGATCCAACCCCGCTGTGGTTCCCAGCCCATGGCACTGATGCCACATCCAGTCTCAGCTTAAAAACCTCCAGGGATGGAGAATCCACCCCTTCCCTGGGCAGCCCATTCCAATGGCTGAGCACCCTCTCTGCAAAGAAATTCTTCCTGATATCCAACCTAAACCTCCCCTGGCACAGTTTCAGACCCAGCCCTCTTGTCTTGCTGATGGTTGCCTGGGAGAAGAGACCAACCCCCCCTGGCTCCCCCCTCCTGTCAGGGAGTTGTAGAGAGTGAGGAGGTCTCCCCTGAGCCTCCTCTTCTCCAGGCTGAGCCCCCCCAGCTCCCTCAGCCTCTCCTCACAGCACTTGTGCTCCAGTCCCTTCCCCAGCCTCGTTGCTCTCCTCTGGACCTGCTCCAGCCCCTCAATGTCCTTCCTGAGCTGAGGGCCCAGAACTGGACACAGCACTCCAGGGGTGGCCTCACCAGCACTGAGTCCAGGGCAAGAATCACTTCCTTGGACCTGTTGGCCACCCTGTTCCTGATCCAGGCCAGGATCCATTGGCCTTCTTGGCTACCTGGGCACACTCTGGCTCATCCACACTCCCCCATCCAGCCCCGACCAGTGCTCAGCCAGAGGGAAGCGCAGGAAGCCAAGCCAACATTCCAGCACTCACAGCATTCCCATCATCTCCCTGAGGACTCCCTGGGCCCAGCAGAATCTCCTCTAACCCCACCTCATCCAGATTTCAGCACAGCAATCTCAGCTGGACACAAACCCACGGTGACTCCGGGGGTTGGGTGGAAACCCCTCTTCCACCCTGCCAGGTCGATTCCTGCCTTTTGATCCCGGATCCAGGCAGCTCCTGGGAAGCTTGTGCTGCTTCTTAAGACATCTTTAAAATGATATCAGTTCTTAGTACAGCAGTAGAGCAGACCTTAAACCCCAAGGTAAGCTTTGTGTGGGTGCAAATTCCAAAGGAGTTCCCATCAGCAGCTTCTTCCCACCAGGACCATTCCTCAGATCATCTCAAGGAAAACTACTCATCTGCAAAAGACTGGAAGCTGGAGATTTATCTCACATAACCTGCAACATCAGCCTCATCCTGCAATAGCTGGAGAGGAATTTGTCAAAAAGTATCAGTCAGGGCTCAGGATGGGAAATCAAGGTGTTCAAATGAAGGTTGGGGAAGATGCTGGTTTAGGAGGTTCAACATCCTCCAAAGGCTTGGAAAGGGTAGGAAGCAGATCCCAAAAAGGGAAGTAGCAAACTGGTGATTTAAGGATGAAGGATTTTGGAACCACCTCTGGCTCTTTAGCAGGCACAGTTCTCAATGAGCCAGGTGGAGCAAATCCTGGACCTTGGACAAAAGTGCATTGCAAGCTTGGTTCTTAATTTTGGGAAGGGGTGCACTGACAGACCTCTGCTCCTGCACAGACCCCAGAGAGGAAGGAAAAGACCTTCTTCTTCCTCAGTCTCAGCTTCTCTTGGCTCAGTTTCATCAGCCACCTCCTCCTGCTGTACAAGAGACTTTTTAAAGTTAGAAATGAAGAGACTTCAACCCCCCAAAAAGTGTTATTCTGAAATGCTCAACAGCCTTTAATTCATTTTGAACCTAGAGGCAAAGAAAAAAATAGGCAAAAAATACATCACAGCCTTAATCTAGGGGGAGAAGGAAAAAAAAAAATCATTATTTTTATAGCACATAATCAGACACTTACAAATATATTTCACTGGAGGAAGGGGTAGGAATGTGCATTTCCTATTTCCTTTTCAAGAGACTGATGCCCAAGGGGCATCAATATGGTCATTACCCCAAATCTGCACAAGTCATTCCTAATCCAAAAAGAGGGATTTAAAAATCAACAACAAAAAAAAAAAAAAAAAGAAGAGGGAAACCCCCTGTACCCAGGAAGGGCATTTGACAGTTCCAGGGTCATGTTTCAACATAACTCAGCATCTGAATATGGGGGGGAGGAAACACATTTTTGTTTTTACAGTATAAATAGTATTTTAAAAAGGTAGTACTCATGGATACAGGAATGGTGCTATTGCAGTCAGGATTCCAACATGCAGAGGAAATTCCCCAACAACCACTCATCCCATCCCACCCTTCCCCTCCCACCTCCAAAAACAAAAAATCCTCTGCTGGTTAAATTTCTCTTTCAATTGTTTTAAATATTTCTCTCGTAGCCTGGCAACATTCTTAAGTCTTTTATACAAGCAAGTTTTCTATTAAATCATATTTTAACCGACAGGAGACAGCTCTGGAGGAGGAACAACCGAGGCTTGGAAGAACCTTGCCAATTTTTTGAAACTTTTATTAGTCTCAGTTTGGTTTTATTGGTGGAGACATCTACTGAAAACGTCAAAAATTCAGAAATTAAAAAAAACCAAAACAAAACAAACAAAAAAAAAACCCCCAAAAAACCAAAACACAACCCTGTTTTTCCAAGGTCTTACGAACACGCACGCGCGGCCACGCAACACAGAAAATAACCCGTAGCAGAGGCAGGAAGGGAGGGCTGGGAACTCCAATTCTCAAGGGAGAACCAAACCAAAGTTTAAAAAAAAAAAAAAAGAGAAAAAAAATTCAATTGCTTTATTCTATCTCCACTCTTTCACTAGGACAGTTTAATACCCACGGAGTCTCTTAAGATGCTAATCTACCATCTGCCAGCCCACAAATCCTTCCCACTTATTCCCCTCAAGATCCAGCCAGAGCGTTGCTTAAAAAGCCTCCCTCCCCAGAACAACGGGCACCTTGCAAAGGGGCTTAAAAAAATCATAATGAAACCCCAAGAACATTGTCTCTCTCTCTCTCCATCCAGTAATTTCAGGGAATTAAGTGGAAAAGATTGCAGCGCAGCGTTCCGGGGTAGGAGGGGAGGGTCCGACTGCCCTCGCCCACCTCCACCCCACCCCTCTCCAGCTCTGTCCTAGCACTGCCTTGTTCTCTCCCTCTGACTTGATTGAGGTCCTCCAAAGAACGTGGAAGACTTTCCAGTGACTTCAGTTTGGATCAGGCTCTTTCCCAAAATGCTGCTCCACGACAGCTCTTCGACCGGAGGCGATTCCCAAGCGTCCAAGTGGGAGCTGCCCACTCAATACTTTAGGGTTTGGTTTTGCCTTTAATGCTCCTTCAATCCTCAGGGAATTGAGTCCAGTCGAATGCAGGGCTTGCATTCCTCTTCCCTGGGAGTAACTCAAAAGGCTCAGTCTTTACTTAAGGAAAGGATGCCACGACAATCAAAGGCGGTTGGGGAATTTCTTCTTTAATAGGATCAAAGAAAAAACATACAAACGCCTCCCAGGCTTCTGTCATGGAATGATTCTCACACTGTAAGGAGCACAACTCAAAAAAAAAACCCCGAAAAACAATAATAATAATAATAATAATTAAAAAATAAAAATAAGAAGACAAAGGAAAGGAGGAGGTTCCTAAGGGAGAAGTGCCTACCAGAGGGCCGGAGCAGCCCTCGGAGCTCTCGGCTGCAGCAGGAAGGGGATGGCTCGGAAGGAACTAACACAAGCAGCAACAGAACACTTGCCAAAACCAGAGTGGCATCTTGGAACTGAAAGCCATGCTGATCTCCATCTAGAAAGCAACTGTGATGGCAAAGATGGGGGAAGGAAGGTGACAAGAGCGACCCAAACCCGGCCATTTCTGCCCTAAGTGCCCTCCTGGCGACGTGGCAGCGACGGCCACGTCTGTGCCAGGGCTTTAGGAGTGCTCAAGGTAAGAAACATCCCAGCTGTGAACCATTTCTTTCCCCATCTTCCCCAGCTTACAAAGAAGATAGTGTTTCTTTACAAAAAGAAAGCAAAAAAAGAACCCAGAACGTTCCAGGACATCTGTTCTCGAGCTCCCTCTCCCCAGTGTAACATCAGTCACGATTCATTTGGAGGGGAGGAGGAGGA